CCCTACACCATTTCTGACAAATGGCAGTCCAATCTCTTCTTGAAAGTCTCAAGTGATGAAGCTCGCACCACTTCCGAGGGCAACTTCTGTTCCATCGGTTGATTGTTCTCACTGTCAGAAAGTTTCTCCTTATTTCCAGGTTGAATCTCTCCTTAATCAGTTTCTATCCATTATTCCTTGTCTGGCCTTCGGGTGCTTTAGAAAACAGCTTGACCCCTTCCTCCTCTCTGGGGCAGCCCCTCGGATATTGGAAGACTGCTATCATGTCTCCCCTGGTCCTTCTCTTCCCTAGACTAGCCAGGCCCAGTTCCTGTAACCGTTCTTCATGTGTTTTAGCCTCCAGTCCCCTAATCATCCTGGTTGCTCTTCTCTGTACTTTTTCTACAGTCTCAACAAGTTTTTATAATGTGAAAGTCCAGTTGCCTCCTGAAAAAGCACCTTTGGGACAAACATGAACTGGATGACTGAGAATCTCTACAAACTTTAGCTATACAATTTGGGATGAACCCCCTTGGAATAGTGTGGGAGTAGGAATGGATTTCCAGTGAAAAAATTGCAGACTACAGGAACCATTTACACCACTCAGGTGACCCTGAGGACACAGATCAACCTCCAAGTGGCCTCAACAGCTCTCTAAAAAGGATGCAAATGACCAGCTGCCTGCAAGGAAAATAAATCCTTCCATTCCCCACTATCCTTTCAGAGCTGAAGAAGCTTCTTGGATGAGAAGCGAAACTTCTTCAAAAGAAGAAACAGGGAAGTCCAGTGGCCTCCTGAAAAAAGCACCTTTGGGACAACCATGACATGGATGACTGAGAATCTACCGACTTTTAGCAATAGGAAAGTTTCTTTAACATCCCAGAGCAGATTCCCACTCTCTTGAGATTTCCTAATTGTCTCTCATGCAAATATAATCACGTCTATTTCTGTTGAGACTTTCAAGCTCCAACAGCTGTCAGTCTAACCAGGTGCTCCAGACAGGAAACACGGCCAGATGAGCAAATTCTACTTTATTGTCAATAATAAAATCTTGCCAGTCTGAAAGTACGAAGTTAAAGCGAAGAAATTTTGGAGTGAGATTCATATTTTAATACAGAAAATGCTTAAAATGAAGATGAAACCAGAAAGTTTTCTTTTGGGTTTTAATGGAAAAAGACTTGGGAGGAAAAAAAATTGGAACTTTGAACTTTATATGTTGATGGCAGCACAAAAATGCAAGGATGTTTCGATTCCCACCATGGACGAATGGCTGATGAAGTTGATGGAGTTGGCAGAAATGGCCAAATTGACCATTCTGATTAAAGAAAAGAATTAAGATCTTTTGTTGCCACATGGAAACCGCTTCTGAACTTTGTGTTTGAGGCGGGGGGAAAAAAATGAAACTTGGATTTTGGATTGTTGTGGAGAAAATTAGTGGAGGAAAAAATATTAGGCATGTTCACCGCCTTGAGTTATTTTTAGGAACAGTAAAGGTGGGATTCAAATTAATCAATAACAATAGCAAGCAATGGGTCTATTAATGACTCCTATAAAAAAGGTTGTAAAATCAGGTCAATCATCCTGACTTATAACGGTAACGGATTGGCTCCATTATGGTCATAAAATCAAGGACTACCTATATGCGTGATGCCACGCGAGCTGCATGCAAACTTACCTCACTGTGCATGTGCGTGCCTCAGAGCTGATTTTCAGCAGGTTTGAGGCCTTTTTCAGCCTTCCAAAGGCTTGAGGAAGGCTTCTGCAGGCTTCAACAAGCTTTGTAGGCCAAAATCTAGCCCCGTTTCGTCACTTCCAGTATTTTCGGAAAAACAGGAAGTGATGAAACGGGGCTAGATTTCGGCCTACAAAGCTTGTAGAAGCCTGCAGACGCCTTCCTCAAGCCTTTGGGAGGCTGAAAAAGGCCTCAAACCTGCTGAAAATCAGCTGTGAGGTGCAGTGCAGGTAAGGGGGCGGCGGGGGGTGCGGTGGGATTGCATGCGCATGAGTAGGGGATGTGGGGGGGGGGCGTGCATTGCCTTCTGGGTGCTGGCACGCGAGTGCGAGCGTGCAAGCGTGAGCTCAATTTTTGGCACAGGAGCCCAAAAAGGTTAGCCACCACTGACCTATAGTCAAGGTTAAAAACTTGACTTGTGGGAAAGCTCTACAGATAGTCCTTGATGTACAACAATGCATTTAGTGTTCAAAGTTACAACAGCAATGAAAAAAGTGACTTATGACCATTTTTCAGAGTTACGACCTTTGTAGCATCTCCCTGATCACGGGACCCAAATGCAGCTGCTTGGCAACTGGCTCATTCTTACGACCGTTGCTGTGTCCCAAGGTTACATGTGATCCCCTTTTAAAGACCTTCAGACACAGGCAAAGTCAATGGGGAGAAGACAGATTCATTTAACTGCGTTACTCATTTATCAACAACGGTGTTGAGGCAGGTCGTAAAATCGGGCATAACTCACTTAACAAATTAATGTCTTGCTTAACAACAGAAATTTTGGATTCCACTATAGTCGTACATAGAGGACTACCTGTATTTGCACCCTGTGCTGGTATCTACAATATTTTGGAGAAGTGGCAGGATGGAAAAATTTGCAATAGGGAAAATTAATCTTCCATTCTCCAGATGGTTGGGCGAAAAAAAAACCCTTCGCTTGTATTTTAACTTTAGAATAAAAAAATAAATTAAATAAAAATTGCTTGGAACCCTTTTTTCCCCAAAACCAGCTAGGGTCTGCCAAGGCCCTGCTGATTTCCTCCAAGGGCTGGTCTTAATATTACAGCCAGATCCTTGTTTCGATCAGATGATGATTTCACAGAGTGGACCCTCCACAGACAGAGGTCAACAATGTGTGAAGTGGGAAAAATCTCAGAGCCCATCCAGGAAGAAGCAGATGACAGCAATGAAGAAACTGCATGGAACAGTCTGTGATGAAAATCTGCAACGATAATGGCAGAAAATAGCAATAGCATTTAGACCAGGGGTCTCCAACTTTGGCAACTTTTAAGACTTGTGGACTTCAGCAGAGCTGGCTGAGGAATTCTGGGAGCTGAAGTCCACGAATCTTAAAGTTGCCAAGATTGGAGGCCCCTGATTTAGACTGATATACAGCTTCACAGTGTTTCACAGTCTTCTCTAAGTGGTTTACAGAGTCAGCCTATGGTCCCCAACAATCTGGCTCCTCCTTTTACCGACCTCGGAAGGACGAAAGGCTGAGTTGATCTTGAGCCTGGTGAGATTCGAACTGCCAAACTGCAGGCAGCCGGCAGTCCGTAGAAGTATAGCCTGCAGTACTGCACTTTAACCACTGCACCACCACAGCTCATAATCCCTAAAACAATCGGAAAAACGCAGAGCAGATGACCTCCATTCTGCATCAAATACCCTGGGTAACATCTTGTCAACTTTCAAAGATGGCCGCCTTAACAACTGTGCTACTATGGCAACTTAACCACTTGCAGTGATTCACTTAACAAATGTGGCAAGAAAAGCTGCCTTCTTCTTCGAAGACGTTTCGCTTCTCATCCAAGAAGCTTCTTCAGCTCTGACTGGATGGAGAGGAATGGAAGGATTTATACTCCTTGAAGACAGCTGGTCATTTGCATCCTTTTAGGGGGTCGTTGAGGCCACTTGGAGGGGTATCTGTGTCCTCAGAGACACCTGAGTGGTGCAAATGGATGTGCAGCCTTCTTGGAACTGCTGAAAGGATTGTGTTGTAGACAGGAGATAGATGGTATCG